AAAAAAAAAAAAAAAAAAAAAAAAAAAAAAAAAAAAAAAACAACAACCCCAAATCTTTGGAGCAGAGATTGGTTTCATGAACGATGAGTGTTTGATCATACTTGATCAAATCAGATACATCTGAACATAAGAGAGAAATGTTCTGCCCCTGATAATTCTGTAACAGGTGCTTTTCTTTTCCTCCAACAGTTACCCTGCTGTATGTGAATTCCTCCAGCACAATAACTTGTTATCTATACTCCGAGCCCATGAAGCCCAGGATGCTGGGTAAGTGCCTCCCCACCCCTTCCTTCCCCCTCTTTGCTTCATAAATAAACATTGTTCATACACACTGACAATTCCCCCATCCTATTACACCATCTTCTGAGTGCAGAGATTGCTCTTATCATTCTTCCTGAAGGGGTTGGTCCTGATTGCTGTCCCGACCTTTCCAGAAGCTTACAGCAGAGGATGAAGTGCACTGAAGGAAACAGCTGTGCTATCATAAAGCAACAAGCTTCAGCTTAAAAGGTTTCCCTGTACTTCCGCATGCTCAGAGAGATATTCTGTCTTTCTGAGAGACTATCCTTCCCTAATCTGTGTTAGCTCTAAACTAGCTTGTTGCTGTGAACATACATGCCATAGGGTTAACATGGTTTCGCTCGACCCAAATACAAACACGTTAGGGATCTGGGAGGTTTACTCTGGTTTCTAGGTCAGTATAGGTCCATGTTGCCATTTACTTGGTTTAGTGACTAAGTGGCACATTGGGCCAAAAATTATTTTAACTCCAGACTAATTAAAAAAAAAAGTCAGTGCAGCCCAACAGAATAGTTGCTAATTACACCTCCATAATGATAGTCTGAGCAACATTCTAAAGTATCAGTTGCTATGGTCTATTTGCAAATTGTTTAGGTCTTCTCAACCTGATTACAAATTTGGTACCTCCTCCCCGGTCAGTGTCTTTGTCATATATTTGTGTTCAGAATTCTCAAAGAAATAATAAAAATTATGTGTAAAAAGTAAGTATAACACAAAGCTACTTGAATGCCCTCAGTACAGAGAGAATGGTAGACACTGTAAGGCATTTGTTCAGGGACAGATTTGTGTGCAGAGGTGCTCCAGGATCAGCATGTTTTATCAGTGAGACTCTTGTCATAGACCAAATTTAAGAAAACATCTTTTTTTTTTTAACTTCAAAAAGCACTTTTTCATTGAAATGTCTACTAGAATCACATTAATAGAATACAATGGGTATCTGAATTCATAGCTTTTCACACCCTGCTTATAATACAATTAATGTGTTTTTGAGAACAGAAACCTTACAGGCATTGAATGGTAATAACAGTAAAGTAATAAGATTATAGGATTGAGATCTGTACTCAATATGTTTCTAAAATGTTATTTTGTGTAACTTACTATATAGTCACTTAAATAATTAAAAACAGCTTGTCAGTCTGCCAAAAATAACTGGCATCAAATACCCAAGGGGTAGTAAAATGTTGTTTTCACTTTATTGCTTTGCAGTAAAGAGAAAAAGTTTCAAATTTAGTTTAAAAAATTCTTTTCTTAGAGAACAAAGAGGCTGCATTGGTTTTATTTGTGCTGCAGTAGGGACAAAAATACTGTGTTTAACTGTTTTTTCAGATTCGTACAGCTATCAAATATTTGATCAAATGTTTATTTGATCAAATATTGTCCAGATAATAAATCCAGACAGTAAACCCCTGATCTGTTAAGATATGGGTACTGGAAATGGGTGAGCATTAGCCAGTTAGTTCACAGACTTGGCTTAATTGAGCATTCCTTTGTGAAGTCGAGCTTTGTCCATGCATGCAGAAGAACATCACCTGATGATTGATAACTGTTTTGCATATTTGTAAAATAATGTAACTGTGTACTGGAACTCTCAGCTTGCAAGAGGTTCCTGTGGAAATGTCTGCATATTCTGGCACCCTGAGAAATTTGAAATAGTTTATTTAATCTACCTATTGGGGTGTTTTTTAATACGTTTGCACACATGCTTTGGGAAGGAGCCTCCATAAAAAGGGGGTGGGTGAAATCTGCCTCCATTGTAGTTAGTAATCAAACTCCCCTTGTTTTCAGCATGACCATATTATAATGTGAAATGTACAGTTTTCTTCTTTAGTGGTCCATCAGCTATGATGCTTCCTGTGCTAGAGTTTGTCACCTGTGACCAAGTGGGATCAGTTGAGATTAGCCCCATTTGAGTCCCCAGCAATTCCAAATATACACAAGGTCAAAACCTCTAGCAAGTATTTCATGTGCAACTCCAAAGACCTTTTATAATTCCTGCTTGTGACATTACATTATAAACCCTTTGGGGTAACCTATTGGTTTTCTTCTTTTGAGTGATGTCACTAACATAGAATCGTAGAAATGTAGGGCTGGAAAGGACCTTAAGAGGTCATCTGGTTCAACCACTGCTCGAGGTAGGATCGTCCCTGTCCAAATCATTCATACAAGTCCTTGTCTAACCTATTCCTGATATGTTGTATACCATACATGTGATTAATAATAATTCAACTTGTACTTTCCTTTAGGTATCGTATGTACAGGAAAAGCCAAACAACAGGCTTCCCTTCACTAATTACAATTTTTTCAGCACCAAACTATCTAGATGTATACAATAACAAAGGTAAGAGTGTTTTCTTTTATCGTATTATTTCTTTAATTTATTACAGGTGCAAATTTAATCAGGTTTATTTTTTTCTAAATTGGACATCGCTATAGGATTTGTGGTTCTGTCTACTATGTCCTTAGATAGTTCTCTAGTGTGAGTGTGCATTGCTAATAACTGCATCATCCAGGACAAAAGCTGGCAATGGTTCTAACAACTGAAAGAGGCATTTTGCAAAATATTGTGGTTGAGATTTTCAAAGCCCTCTGCTACTTTTTTTATTAATCATCTGGCCCTTTGTTAATTTCCATTAACATTAACAGCTGTTATATAGCTAAATCTTTTAATCAGCTTTAAAATGTCAGACATAATAGTTATCTAGACAGAAGGCAGAGTATATTTGTGCCTTATAAAAAAAAATGAAGGAGGGAGATGCATAAGCTTTCTAAGCAGTAGCTTACTGGATCAAATGTTATGAAGGGACTGCAGGAAGTAAACTTTCTAAATAGAAAGCAGTAATTAGAGTATGAAGGGTAGGGAAGGGGGAAAAATACGCGGTACTGCTGAGAGAGGCAAGGTAAGTAGGAGAGAGAAAAAGAAAGCAGTTAACCTATTGAGGGAGATAGGGTTTATAAAAGGATAAGAATACATCATCTTGGCTTAGACCACACTTAACACAACTCAATCTGTAGATTATTTGTCTAGATTCCTATAGATCCCATATTGTCTGATTATCCTATTCCAGGAGTGGCCAACTTGGGACACAAGAGCCACAAGTGGGACAGGCGGCCTTGGTGTGGGGCCCACAGTGGATCAGGGACGGGACAGGCAGCACAGTGGCAGATAGGACAGGGAGCAGAAAGCAGAGCAGCAGATTGGCAGAGAAAGGAAATTGGAGTCACTCTCATGGAGGGCTCAGAGCTAATTTTTGGTATTCCTGCCAGACAGGTTAGCCCCCATTGCCTTATTCCATGTTTTATTTTTTTTTAATCATTTTAAACCTAATACATGTAGAAAAGACATATATAAAGCAAATAAAAAAGCTGTTGCTTAGATGATAAAATTCTGTGAAGACTCATCTCGGGATATGTGTACAGCTTATATTAGGTTACTATAGTATTCACTCTGGCTGCCTGCAGACCTTTAAAAAAAAGCCAAACACACACTTTACCAGAAGCAGCAGCATGTTATTTTAGCCTGGCTCTGCAGTGTCTGTAAAGATTGAGTACTTCAGTGGGGCTTTTTGGTGCTTTAGCTAAAGCTGATTTAATAAGTATTAAATAAAAGTGCCAAAAAAGTACTACGAACTTGCCCAATCTTTACAGACATTGGGCAAGGTGGGCTGAAGTAACACGATATTTCTTCTGGGCATTCTTAGGGCTTGGCATGGGAACGTACCAAGTTTAAAGTAAAGCGCCGTTTTTGGGGTGTGGTTTCACATCTGTAAGCACCCTCTGATTGCAAGTTTCCCTAACAAATCACAAGAAAATAGCTGTTTTAAAACAGGACTTTCCAATAACTTATACTGCTGAGTCCAATATACGCAGCAGGATAGCTTTATTTTATGCTACTCTGGCTGGAATAAAACTAGCATGTACTGTTCTGCTATGATAGGGAAAGAAATTTGGGGGTTAAAGACATCCATAACTACTTTGTCCCTATGATTTAAATGATGTTAGCTTTATTCTATGCGATTATTTCTGCAACCCTCATAAAATTTAACATTTACCCATTTCACAGTGTTTATCCTTTCTGAAAGAAATAATGTTAGTGATTTTAGTCTTTGCCTTCATTAAAAAAAAAAAAAAAGCATTTGGCA